AACTGGTCTAATAAATATAACTGCAAAGCATACATCCATGCTTAAGTATGCAAAGTGTAGGTTACCATTAAAACTATTCTTGAACTGACTGTAGACTAAAATAGAGAAATTTTTCAGGATTGAACTTTTCCCATTACCTCATACATTCCATCTGTCCAGCCTCCATGCCCATGCTGCAATGATTGCACAATCTCAAGATCCAAGTCAACAGTGACTTGATCTCCGATCTGTAATCCCTGACCTGTCGCACGACTTGCTGGTCTGGTATCACCTGAGTACAATGATAGAGATCGATGAACAGGCTGACTCACACAATATGATTTGTGGGCCCCATTTTTCACTGGAACCTACATCATATCTCACCAAAGGCCAGTTCGTGATATTGACAAGAAATTTTCTCTGAGATTATTTTCTGACTTCATACTAAACCCTTGCAGTAACAGATCTCCTTGATTTGGACCAACTGAGAATAACTTAGGCATTTGGCCCTCTATATCAATTCACAGTGTTTGCTCACTATCCAGAAATATCTTTTACCACCAAACTGCAAGGAAAAACTTAAAAAAAAAAGAGATGGGTATAAGGGGAGAGTTTTGACCCAATCTGGACCAGAATCCCATTCAGTGGTAGAGGATTTACACTCACTGTATGAACTGCCTAGCTCGTATGTTAGATTTTTTAAAAATATATAAAATAAAACCCGTAACCCTTTAATTCCTAAGAGTGATTGGCATCTAATTTCTCCTTATAATGTCACCCATGAATCAAACATTAAGGTCATAAGAATAAAGGAAATGATCAACAACTAAAGAACTCTTGACTGTTAAACAAATTCTCCTGTTTAGCACCTTAAGACATGTATAGAGAGCAGTATGGAGAATAAGCATACTGATGATAGGATGTAAAGGGTTCATAATTCAAACAGAAATACCTAATAATGGCAGGTGATCCCTGTAAAATGTTCCTCCTTTGGCATCACTTATTACTTTGAGGTCAGCCTGGAGAGGGAGAAATGAAATCACTGTTGAAAGGGTGCTAACAGCTAGTTTACATGAAATAAAGTAGTAGCACTTTGTTACAACTAAGGAATTAGCAAACCAGTGCACATTTAAATTACATCAAATTACATACCATGCCTTCAAATCCAAGTCTGTACAAATTCTTTGCTCCATTGTCCCACAAGATGTAAGCAGCACTGCGAGGGCTTGACGTACTCCAATCTTGGACTTCTGTTACTTTTCCACGGCGACCAGGACCACCTAGATAAGGAAAGCGCATTTCTCATCAGTTAAGAGTACATGTAATGGGACAATACACTTTAATACATAGTTTTGGGAGAGTTAAGGTGGTATTTAATGTACCCTTGATTCTTCCAATGGATGTTTATGGTTCTCAAGATGAAATCCCCATGCAATGCTTCAAACTGTTGATAATCTGCAAACCTAAGATCAATTTTGTACTAAACAGTGGCACTAGTTCTGGCTAAAATATACTTTTCTTGCTGAGATTTTTTGGTTCAAAGGCCTAGATTACCCTACCACTTGCCTCAGCAGAAACTGCTAATGTTTCTTAGTTTTCTCAACCGAACAATATGCTGAGCTTTTAACATTAATACAGTAAAGCACCCTGAAATCCTATGTGTTAATCTAACAAAGGAGACCTCAGTAGAAGTTGTACACCAGGTTAGGTTTAGCCTGTGCATTAATTTGTATCATAGCATTCTTTGAATTGGCCTATACACTTATGTACTCTTGCATACAACAGTTGACAGTTACACACATAAAATTTTTTACCGTCTTGATCTTCCCACTGCCAATCAACTCCACGAACAACCCTAGCACCTGGAAATATCCCTCTGGCAGTTATTTTTTTGCTTTTTCTCCTTGCTTCACAAAGTACTCTAAGAATAAGTATAGAGAGACAATAACATCAATTACCTGGGCTTTCTGCAATGATTAAGCACAAAAGAAATCTGGATTGTATTTGTTTCACTTTCAACTATTGCATAATATGTTCACTTTGTGTTCTCATGACAAGTATCTCCTTGTGTTATGTTCCTTTCAACAAGTTAGCTGTAGGGATACACTTGGTTTTGGTTTTATAACATCAGACAAAAAGCAAACTTACAAAAACCAGCTTAACATGAAATCACCTCTTTAAGAAGTTTTTTACATGCATGTGCTTGATAATGTACCTGATGCAGTTTAAAATGAACTTCAGATCAACAAGATTTCAAACTAATTTGAATTACTTTTATTAATTTGTCTTTGTTCCACTTACAATGCTATTGTGATTGTCTTGGAACAGAGAAAATTTCAAATTGAACCAGGAGGAAATCAATATAAGTGCAATAACGAAAATTTTTACCTATACTACTATACTGCCAACAGACTTAAAGTTTGAAAATTATCCAAGACAGCATGACATCGTACCTTTCTGAGTTAGGTCCACAAACCCGGTAGAACTGATGCCGCAAGTGATGTTTGTCTCCATGGTAACACACACTACATAAGTCATAGTTTTGACAGTCAGCACATTTCCACCTCATCCCATATATAGGTTGCATGCGACAGCCTTCGCACATACTGCCTTCATGTTTTATACCTGAAACAAAAATCTGACTGTCTGAACCATTCAACACCTATCATACATTTCACAGAAAACTATAATTGTAACAAAATTCTCAAACACGACTCATTATCAGCAGATCGATTCTTGCTCCAACAGGACCATGAATGTATTATGCTTGTAACTCAACATTGACATAGGACAGTCTACATAAGAGATCAAGAATTGCAAGATTGGAGTGCACCATTTATGCTCTCTGTTATAAATAAATATTCTGATGTGAAAAGATGAACCCTGTTAAACTATCCGGTTCAGTATCTTCTAGGAAAAAGTCTACTGCAAGGCTATCAACAAAGGGTTGGAATGTATAAAACCTGTCAGGGCTGAGTTCACCATATGTTAAAGGTAAAGATATTGATTGCTGTCACAAGACACTTGCCTGTGCATTACACTGCTATGGGTGATTTCTCCAACACTTCAAAAGCTAGTTACAGCCCTGAACTGCCATGTATTTATTTAGGAAGAAGTTTGAATAATCAACATTTCCCTCCTTAACTTTTATTATAGTTTTGATTGATTGTTAACATGACTTCATGTCATCCTATTGTCTGAAACTCATGCAAGTTTGTGACTGTCAAATCAGAAAATTGCTCCAAAGGTCATCCCATTGATATAATCCCTCACATGATTACTGCTAAACTCCCTCTTTTTCCCATTCTGAAAATACAACCAAACATGATTTGGTTCCTTCCTTTTTCCCTGAGCCATTATACTGCCTTGTGAAATTTACCCTTTGAGTTGTTGGGCATTTAATTACAGTTTTTGTTTTTATCACACTACCATGCTAGAATTTCCCAGGTGAAAGGATAAATAAATTTTGTAAGGTTGTCACCTAAATCTGGCTAAGAGGTTATGCTTTAAGTCTGTCCTACACTTGTGATAGAAGTACTTTCTCTATGACGACAATTTTGTTTGAATGAGCCAATACTTTAAAAATTAGAAGTTAGACACCTCTTTTCAAACAGAAGGAGAACTTCAGGGATATTTCGAGCTGTAAAATTTTGACATAAATGGAATAAAGCAGATTAACGCTTTAATATGAATTACAGGGGAAACCTGACACAAATCTGGAAATAAAACAAAAAAACTCCCAAACGTGCTGTAGATACTAAACGCCGACTGGAACGCTTTCACAAAAAGAGGTGGGAAGTTTAACTAATAGAATATGAGAGAGAAAACAGCTGGACCACACTTAAACACTTCATAAGAAAAGGATAGCAGAGCTAACAAAAAAACTTCAACCCTAATGAAAGGATGACAACATTTATCTACCAGTCCATGATCGGATTAGCCAAGATATGTAGCGAAAGCCGGTTCCAAAAAATCAGTTTGCGACTTGTGAATGAAATGAAAATAAAATGATATCACGATTGCAATAATTTAACGAGAATTTTACATTTATTTCCACTAAAGTTTAATGTAGTTGGAGTTTACCACCATGTATAAAATCGAAAACTTACCAGTTGGGCTACTGTCTAGAATTCTCAAGTCATAAATGCCTGAACATCGATAATTCGCGGCGGTCCCGTTGTCCCAAACAACCACAACTTCTTGGTTACTTTCAAAGTTTCGCACCGTTCCGACATGACCTTCGCCTCCATCTTGTTTTCCCCATCTCCAGTCGGGTCCTCTTACAACTCTATAGCCTACGTATTCCATTTAACGCTCGTAAATACCGAATATGCGAGGTAAAATGGCCACATGAATCAGGCATCTTCCTTACGAATTGTTCTTGTAATATTGTGCGTGTTTTTGGTACCCAGTACTTCATCGGTCAACCTCGATTTCGTGAAACTTCCTTTGCACCTGAAGGCCTTTATTTACAACCAGGCTAACTTACAACATTTTAATTTTGATGGCGAAGAATCTAAACCTGGCTAAACAAAACTTTCTCTAGACTTCCCGGGGATGTATTGTTTCACTTTTGTTGTATACGAGGAAAGGAGACATAACAAAGGAAATGAGAAACTAGCAGGAAGAACCCAAAAAGTTTCGTCAGTGTGGGAGGCTAAATTTTATTTTTGGATTGACATCTGCACTCCTGATCAATTCAAACGAGGGGGATTGGAAAATAATCTAAACGATAACAACATTCCATACGTTCCAGTGTTCTTTGCGTCTGGCAACTCGGTGTAAAACCTTTGATCAGTTGGCACGGACACTTCTCAGACAATGAAGTTCTTTCGCTTTTAGACGGGCAGCAATCTGTTCATCTTCAACGATAAGAGGTCATCATAAATTTAACATCGGTCACGACATTCTTTCAGGTACGCAATTTGCTCTGAAAATCATGTTTACGTTCAAGTCCTTGCGTTTTTTATGAGGCCTGAAAATCGGGACAAATTTTGTTATCTGTTCCTACAGCAAGTCTTGTCCTCGTGATTCTTACGGGAAATTTTAGTTTGGTTTCGAGATGAAAAGGATGTGACTTTTCTTGTTTCATGCCGGTTGGATGCGAAGTATGCTTAACTTGATGAGCGCGGTCAGACAACTGCGATCTTCGATTACCGCTCGTAAACTGCACCCTGCTTTCTTTCACAAATACAGCTAAATATTAGGGCGAAAAGGGAGAGAGAGGAGTCGAGTTCTGAATAACCGTTCTACTCAGCTCTTCAGGAATGCTATGAAGAAGAAGAAACGATCATAGATCAAAGAGTCAGACGAAAAGTAACACCTAAGGAAGTTCAGGCCGATGTGATTGGGGGAAATGCCTCAGTAGTGTCGGATTCGAGTTATTTATTGTATTGCAAATGCAACTTAGACGTGTTAACTCTCTACTTCGTGGTGGACTTTTGTCGAACCGTTCCCAAGGAACAAGTAATTAAAAGCTTTTGTATAATTAGCGCATAGCGAGCTCTGAATAGATTTAATTAGTCCCTATTAGCCAGCGCATTGTGTAGGTCGTAAAACAAAGATTAACTTTTTGTTCGGATATGCTTTGATTTTAATGGCGTTTATAAAATTATTTTTGGATGCCATTGCTGAACGTGAGTAGATTTTAATTTCCCTAGTGATCTTTAGTCTGATGTGGTCGTATTTCTTTGAAGCGGTCGGGAGTTGTTGTTAAGATTCAATGAAATATCATGCTAACTAGAAATTATTTCCTTCCATAAATATTCAAGCGAATTGAATCGGCTCGGTGAAGCGAGGGACTGGATACACAATACTGTATGCTATATGCTATGGTCAAACAAAATATCATTAAGCAATCTTCCGACCTAATAAATAATTTACAACACACCTCAGAGTTCGGTAGATATTTATTTCCTTCCGGCACATTCTGCGTAAAATTCAGAGTTCCTTGTGGTTTAAGAAGTTCTTTACACAATGCTGCGAGAACACTCGAAAAGTTTGAAAACCACTCTACTACGGCTCGTAGTTTAAAAACTTTCTTCGTGTTCTCCCAACATTCCGCGTGGGTTATTACACCGGTAAATTGATAGAAAGTGCGGTATATTGCTTAAATCGTCGCAGAATTGTGCAGTACTTGTCCTTGACGTGTGTTAGCCGCATTTAACGCAGAATAGTTGAGGGGGGGGGGGGAGATATTTTTACGTCCGCAAAACGCGACAGTTGTGCGAACAGCAATCGCCAGAATCGATGCTTGACACAGGAGGTAGGGGGTTATAAGGATATTGATTTATTGTCAAGATAAGAGAGAGAGTGGGACGCTAGTGGCAAAAAGAGAAGCGAGTTGATGGGGCGGGGGTTGAATAGCCCCATCCAATAAAATCCGAGATGACAGTTTTTGATTTTAGTGTAATTTACTGCTTAAATTTCCTTTAATCTCCGCAGGCTGTTCAGTGCTCTCAAATAAGAAGGTATGACTGAGTTAGTTCTCCATGAAGCGGCTGTCAATGGCGACTACCAGCAGCTTGAGAGCATGTTAATGATCCACCGAATAGATGTCGATTATAAAGATGAAGACTTTGGCGATCGTACAGCGCTCCACTGGGCGGCCTCCAAAGGTGAGAGACGTTGTTTGACCCTTAAATTCCCAGGAATGACCTAATAGGAATTTTTCCTCAGAATATCGCTACGTGTACATTTTCAAGGATACAGGTGAGGAGGAAAATGAAAAAGATCACTTGGTTAAAACCAGATTCTCGGAACTCAATTAAGGAGAACTGTGCTATAATTGGTAGGGAGATTTGTATCCTAGATCACCTAGATCTTGAGAATGAAAGGGTTGAAGATTTTTTTCGCTTGTGAAATAACTGTTTACTCAGGGTCGTCAGTGGTGCTTTAGAGACCAATTTCCTCGCCTCTGTTTGTTCCGAGATACCCCAGGGGCAAGAGATAATTCAGTCAGCATAAGGCGATACCGTGGTGCACTGCTCATCCGTTCTGTGCGTGATCGCGCGCGCTCTTAATTTCGCAACGAGGTAGTCTGTTATCGAAATCACCTTAACGAGCTCCTCGTGAGAAAATCGTATATCACCTTCAATTATTGAATGCTGACGTTCTTTCATCCCACAAGATGGGGAACAGACCGAAAGTTTTTTTTTCTTTCAAAGTATTCTTAAACCAATGTAAATACACTGTATAAAAACGGCGTTTTTTCACGGTCGTGAGGTAGACCGATATTGCACGGATTCACTTGGAAAACTTAACCTCTGACAAAGGATGCGATTCTTTCACTCAGCGAAAATGTGTTGTGAAATATCCGCATGAGATTACGTCATGTTTTTTTGCCAAGAAAACATTCAAAAGTCTGTATTTTTTTCCAATCGAGTAGGAATTTTTGGCCTGCAATAAAATTGACATGGATACGTCCTCGCCGCGCAGCCTGGGAACGCTGCAAATTCTAACTCGAATTAACAACAAAACAACCTGTTCTCTCAGAATCGCACGTCCATCCCTGGATCTATCACTGCTGCTGATGTAAAAGAAAGGTCCTAACGACACGACGGACGAAGACACAAGGACCATATTTACCTACTGTTTTGCTCCTCCGTCAACAAATCCGACCAAGATATTTTAGAATCCGCCAGTTTTAATAGTCCTCTTTTCAGCGGTTACTGGTTATAGTATCAGTCAAAATAATTTCCAGTTGAATGTTGAAAATCATTAGTTTTGCCTTTCGATATGTTATACTCTAGAAATCTTTAGCCAGCCCCTTTTTACATCCAATCGCATGAAAAAGACCAAAGCTAGAAGCTATTTGATCAATCGAAATTTTCGGTTTTGTGGGATTTCTCTGAGTACTCGTTAGCTCTTGGTTTTGCCCTCAATAACTGTAATTAACAATGCTCTGTCAAAAGAGCGCTCTACTAATTTACGTAGTGTTATGATACTGCCCTTTAGCTTTATGAGTTTAAACATCTGTTCACTGAGAACAAAATGTCTCTCTCTTGTGATATGCAAAGTGGATTTTCTCAGCATATTTTTAAAGTCATCGCAGAACTTATCCATGTGTGATCTGCGAGAAAATTATATCTGGGATGAATGCAAGTTAACTTTTCGGCCTTGCATAACTGGCGTGGATTTTCCAGCAGTTCCCTGTGGGACTAAGATCCATCAAATTTTTTATTAGATGTTCAGTTTACAAACAAGAACTCAAGCAAAACTACTTAACCAGTAGCTGTCATTATGTATATTGTCCTTAGAGAGTTCGCCGCTATTATGATCTAAATCTCAAAATCATCAATCATTGTTTCCCTTCACGTACCTTTAACAATAGCACTCTTGAAATCAAACCAATTTTTTTCATTGCGTCACTTGTTGCTCCATTAGATGTAAATTCAAATTGTTTATTCCCGAGTAACTTCAATGCTTACAAAATTTACTGAAACTTTATCGTTCGAGTGTTGTTCTTCATCACGAAGGGCATGACAAATCAGGAAAAACCGCCGACCAAACAGGTTTTTAACAGCAGCAGCCACGACTTGCTTTTACACGAGACGTGCGCCCTGGGAGACGACACAAAACTCGAAGAATTGGGTAGCTTTATAAGAGGTGGAAAAATCGACGTGAATTCGAGAGATGAGGAATGGGGCAACAGAGCTGCTCTTCACTGGGCGGCACACAGAGGTAGAAATTGTTATGACTACCTTAAAATTAGTATTGGGTTCCCACCCTTATGGTTCTTTCTAGCGTTTGCTCAAGACAAGGTGTTCGCGCAATGATAACAAGCTCAATATTTTGTTATGCTTCAGCGTCAAACTTATGGGCCATAAACGTGTTCATTAGTTCAACTGTTTTTGAGTCCTTCGTCCTGTTCACCCCTGTTTTGGTTTTTGGTCTAAAAGAGAATTGATTGCAAGTTGATGAGAAAGACCTCTCGCAGCGTTCAGCTCGTTACAGTTTTTGGTCAAATGTGTTTAATTTCCGTCTGATACGGCTGGTTTGAGACGAAAGGCTCACTGCACGGCACTGCAAAAATATTGAAACCGGAACTCAAGTTGGTCTCTTGAACTAAGGTCCGCTAAAGAAGGTGTCCCTATTACCAGATAAAACACGCTTGAACCAGAAATTAATCCATTAAAATTGTTTCATCTTGAAAAGTCCTATTAATACTCAACCTGTTTGGCCCATGTTACCTTTAAACCGAAGCAAAATATGTCCACTGAGTTCATGGGTTTTTATATGATGTTACAAATTGGGTTAACAATGATCTCTTCGTCGAGTGATTTTCGCTCAATATTTCAAGTCGACCTACAGCACTGCTTGATTCACGAAAGAAATCTTTAAAATCCGAACAAAGAAATATCAAACTCTTACCGAATGGGTCTTTACAGGGATCAGAGTTCCGAGACTGAAATTTGAAACATGCCGAGGGACAACTTCTTTGCTGGGTCTTTGTTCACCCTCCCGGCTGGCAAGGTTGACTAAGGAGTTAACCTCCAGAACGTGCAATCTCTCTTAAGTTCTGAAAAAACGGTATCAAACACCTCTGATACACTGGTAATTTAGATATATAACGACAGCGCGCTGACTTTTTAATTCGGCAGAACATAGAGAATTGCGCACCTCGCGATATTTAAGTTTTACGGTATGATACTGAACAGTAACTTAAACAATCTCAGATATAGAGAGCATCAAAATGTTTACACGACAACAATACATACCTTTTCTTTCTGTGTAAATCTACGGGCGCTCTGCAAACTGATTGGCTACGTAACTCACTATCTATTCCATGACAAGGAGTGAAGAGAGTGAGAAGCCTGGCAGTATGCAATTCTAAACAAAATATAACGAAAAAATTAGCCTGCCTAGTTGTGTAGTTTTGAACGACTGAAACGACGAAAACAGTTCGGTTATTTGCCCTTGATCTCTATGCGTGACAGTGCATCTGGGCTTCGCCCTCCGATTGAAATCTCGAGCTCATAATCTCATTGTTAAATATATGTTTTATTGTACTTTCTGTTTTTTTTATCCAGGGCACGCCAAGTGTGTGAAACTTCTTTTGGAATACGGCGCTGATCCTGCCGCTCGTATGGTGGGAGGCTGGACACCAGCTCACTGCGCGGCGGAGACCGGACGCTCAAATGTACTCAAGATCTTAATCGAACACCAGGCCCCTGTCATGATTGCGGATAACTCGGGGGACACGCCTAAAAGGGTAGCGGAGATATACGGACATACGGCTTGTATTGAACTTCTTGAAAGGTAAGACTTGCTCTGAGCGAGTTAGGCTTGAACGATGTGTTGTTAATCAAAACTGGCACGAATCTTTATTTACTTCACCTTGCCGAGTTCAGGGTGTTGTCTTCTACTGCCCATGGAGCCTAAATGTAAATTCGAATTGTTAGGAGACGATCATTCACGAATGTCTTTCGCTGGCTGGTTTGTGAAGGTCTGTAATCATAAAAATTACAATTTCCTCGATTGTGATTGGTTTAGAAAACTGTTATCGGACAGGTTGTTATCAGACAGTTCAATAAGCCAATCACATTCAAAGTTGTAGTTTAAATCAACCAATCACAACCATGAAACAATTTAAGCCTCCTTTTGTCAGTCTTTTAATGCCAGTTTTCCTTTTCTATCCAAACTTGTCTATGATTAATTAGTAATAAGACTTCTTGTCTTCCAATTGGGTCTGTAATCATACTGTGTAATCATACTTGTGACTCCCGCTACGTGGTCGTCCGATTTTGTTTTAACTTGTACGTCCTATTGCCAGTACCTATAAGAAAATAGTATTAGCACTATTCTATGGTCTAACTTTACTCCATTACCTGTGTACCTAAATGTGGTAGCAATTAATTGCACTTTTTTTCCGTTTATCGCACTATTCACCAATTTTCTGCCTTTGGATCCTTAGTACTTCGTTTACCTCAGTTTTCCCGCGTCTTAACAACAACTACTTGCACATTTTACTGCGTTTGGCACCCTTTTTTTGCACTTTTTTCGTGTATTTATTTGCCACGTCTTTTTCAAGACAAGCTTAGGCAGCCTTGGCCTCTAAGCTGTCGTGTAACTCTTGATGATTTTCCTTATAATTTCTTACAGCGCTGAAGAGTCCTCTGTCCAAAAACAGCTTCTTATTAGAGACAAGTTCCGCTCCAACACAAGAAAAGTTTCACGCATTGTGGCTGAGAAAGGCTTGGAGGGTCTTCAAGGAAAAGTGACAGACGTAGCCAGCTAAGTTATTGGTGCTATGTCGGTTTGTGACGAATCTCCTAAATTCACGATAAGTAGGTGATAAAGACCTTATCGCAAATGGCGTCGTGGGATACTACGCGATCTATTACGCGCGAATCACGTGCGCATCACGCGCGAATTAGGGCGACTTTAAACGGAATAAGAATCGCACCGATGCAAATACTCGAGGATGTGTAAGAAGGTGGACTCGACTTAAGTGTAGAATTTTACTATCTTGTCATGGACGTTCGGGAAAGTTGGATCTGTATCCTTGACATTTGTTCAACCGACCTTCAAAAGGGCTTGTTTTGATTAGATAGGTCGATAACTTCACATGTATTGTAAGTCTACTTTGATGGGTACTCCAACTCTAAGGTTGTGCCCAGTCTCACTCTTTGTCAATCTTTATTCACAGTCCAGTTCCTGTTGTTAAATTGAAATTCTGATAATCCTTTTTAGCCGAGGGTAGACGGATTTCCCTTAAAAAAAAAAAAAAAAAAAAAGAACAAGCAAAACAACAACAAAATGATCATAGTTTTATGACGAAGATTTCCTACCTATCTGTTATCTCTTGATCTGCTACGATCAGTGTATAAACAGCGAAATTTCTATAGACTGGAGAATGCTGTGGCGACAGGAGTCACAGGAGAGTGTTAATATACCGATTTCGTTTTACCAATCGCCACTCTTCCTTCTCTTAGGGGTTTCGCGCTTATATTAAGCTTTGATCTGCTGGATCGCGAATGGTAGAGTTCAACTCTATCGCATCCTACTTGTATTTTGACTTCTTATTTCCAAACCACCATTGCCTTCCTTTGCATACCGGTGGCAATTTTGACAAGATATTGTTAATTGTTGGTGCACGATTCACACCAGTCTCGGCGTCTATCAGGAGAAAAGAAAGGGTCAACTAAGCCATAGGTCAAGATTTGGTTCACCCTTTAACCCCTAAAAGTGACCGGCTTCTTATTTCTACTAGTTTCACCCTTAAATCAAATTTAAAGGCTATGAGAACGAAGGTAATGATCACCAATCCAAGAAGCTTCTGATTGTCAAATCAACTCTCCTTTATTCAGTGCCATATAAAATGCAGAGTTAGCAGTGTGAGGAATATAAATACTAATCTTATGATAGAAAGGATTAAGTCTGTTGTTCGAATTAAGTTACTAAGTCTGACAGTTGAGTTAACCAAACGTATGCCACGTAGGTGGTATGGGAAAGACGATAAGACTAAAATGAAATATCAGAGCTTTACTAAAACGTCGAATTTATCTAATATACGATCATTTTTGTCTCTCGCATTTTGAAAGGCCAGATTGTCTTGATATCGATGGTAAATCGTTTTGTCTTTTAATCCTTTCTGACAATTGTCTAAATACAAGTCTTTCCTTGACAGGTAGTAAATTAGCCACATTTAACTTCGGATTTTTATGTCAACAAAACTGGCACCCTCGCTGACCTCTGAATACTTTAAAGCGCTTAGATTTGCATCTTAGTTCATTTGATGGATAAGGGTCGTGTCACGCTCCCTAATGAGTACTGAAACAACCCGGCAATCGCGAATTTAAATTATATCTTCTTTTTTTCAATTTTAGCGGGAGAGGCCCCTATGAAAGCGCGTGAATTCATTTGTTGTGACGAAGGGGTAATGTTCGAAACGTCAGTTACAGTGACCAATTTACATTATTAAGTCTGTGATAGATCAAAACCATCTTGTAATGCCCCCACTGAGGGGCGCCACAGCCTCTTTAGAAACTAACCCTCTCCGCGCAAACAGTTAAGAAGGTCGACTGAGAAGGTTAAATGTGAAATTGTATACAGTTATCTTTATCTGGTGAAATAATGGACCCAGTGACTATGCTGATTTTGGTCATGTCCATAACTCGTGTGTGGTGAAGATGGAATGACTACCCCTACTCTTAGCCCCAAATAGAATATCACTTTCAAGTTTGGAATGTTGGCGACAAAATCATAAAAGAGTACTTTTTTATATGGTTTAAGTGAAATATCTTATATAACCTCCCCGACTTTTCTTCACAGTGCAGCTTATACTTGTTGGACAAGACTTTCAATTCACGTGTCGCGACAGTGGCGCACTATTTCATGCTAAATGTTAACCTGTAGACCCCATGAAGGCATCCTGCTTCGTTGAATTTTAAGTGATCTCTAGGGACTGTTAAAAGGCGAAGTTCAAGCCTGCACTTATCGCATGCTAGAGGCGTTTGCATCCGTGGACCGATGCCCTTATTTGGCGGCAAGGACAGGTGAAATAGCTATGATAACATCATTTTTATTAATATTATTTTCAGTAAACTTCTTGTGGCCCTTTTATCAGTTCATAATTGGAAATATTGTTCTTTTCCGTTCACACAAACTCCTCTGACTCGATATTAGATTTTGAGCGCATGTTACGTCGATGGAGACAAAGCAATTTACTGTGTTTCGAAACCGGGCGTCACGCGGGCGTCGTCGGATGGGTTGTAAGGGAGCACGTGCTTTGCAGTTTTGACAGTTTAGTCATGGATACTTGACCTGGCGGTTCCTTTGAAACTTCTTTCGGGGGGTCGACAATTTCCGTGTCTTTTTCCTATCAGGCAAATTTATTCAATGATGACGTCCTTGTTCAGCTTGTCATTGCGTTGTTATTTCTAGCTCGAAGTACGTTTCCACTATTAATCTGTCGTTTACTCTCGAAAAGATTGGGTAAACACAAATTGCGCTAATTTAAGACCGTCCAGAGGTTGATGTTTATGGATGGCAGCTATTGATGCTTGAATGGGCTAATTGAACTGCAGCGCTAACCTGCAGGAAACTTGATTGATACTGTAACACCTGTATAGAACGAAAATTTAATCAATCATTGCACCATTGCAAGAACATTGCTTCTTCCATAGAATCGTTATAGCTAATTGTTCTCGTGTTTTGAATGTGTTTACAAAAAAATGAGATTTAATCATCGTTATGTCTTGATCTTTAGCGTTCCATCACTGGGATTGGCCAACCGTAATGTCTATTCAAACAATCTTTCAGACTGTTTAATTCATTCAAACAAAACATGAACGAAGTCGCGCACCAAGTGTAGCCCTCTGCTAAAAGGCCTTCTTGTGCGCTTCTTTACTGATTGAAGCACTTCCCTGGGCCATTTACGAGAGGATTATCAACAAATGACGCGCGGTTCTTGAAGAGTTTCACATCCTCGATTCTTGGAACTTGTAGACAGGTCAAAATGCCGCCTCGAAGAAAAGGCACGCAAGCCATACGCAAAAGCGTTATGGTACACATCGATCAGTCCGCATGCGATCTCATCCACAAACCCGTACAAAGCGCACGTGAATAGTTACATGTATTTGGTGGTCAAAAACCACAATTTAATCGCAGTAACGACCCGCCATTTCTCCCAGATCATGCTACTTTGATTGCTTATCAATGATATCCTGCCAGAGCCAAATGAATCGATTGATATTTGGAATTATTGGAATGGATCCAGAGGAATAGATGTCCCGGGCTTCTGCGGGTGATGGAAAGTGGAATTTTGTCTGCAAATAGGATCTCAAGAGTATTAAACTTATGTCTATTTTATTTTAGTCGCAAAAATAAATGTGGTAACCGAATAACTAATGCATTTTTCGCATCAGTAAGGACACCGAAAAAGAAGTCAGCCATGACCCTGTTGGATTGCGCTGTCTGACCCGATCATAATTAAAACGGAAAGAGTTACATTCTCAGAAACTGGACTCTGTTAAAAATTCCTGCTATGTTTAAAAGTGAAGAAATTGCTAACAGAACATTTTCAGAGCGGCTGACACGTTTTGTCGTGAAACTAATACAGAAATGGCTGAGTGATCATTGATCCGTCTTTCTCAAAGAATAGGCTATTAACGAGTAAGCATCGACAAATCGGCTTTTGCTGATTACATTATCTTGTGGAAGCTTGAAAATAATAATCGAGACCTTTTGATTGTGATCCATTGAATTTTAAATGTTAGTTTTTGCAATTGGGAGTTCCTAGTTTGTCACCCTCAAGACAAAGATTAGTCAATGAGAGCTTTTATTTTCGTTGAACATGTTAACTTGCACAGTAAAAGGGTCTCGGTCACGTATTCGAGTTGAATACTTCCTCGACACGTTCCTAAGAATCTGCTGTCAGATCCACGGTTCCCGATACCTGTTCCTGTTTTTAAGTGCAGACTGCTTTTTGACCCGTGCTTTGTCCGGAATCTGTTTGTCATAATCATTGAAGCGAGTCAACCTTGAACCCAACGGGAAAAACAAAGAGTGTAGTAGCATCAAGTTTGTTTGTCCGTCACCTCCCACTGAAATCAGCTCACAAACAGCTATAAGACGCCTTGCGTGCCCGTAACCAGAACCTCTCGAGCACCGCTTGAAACGTGCAACTCTCTGGTCGATATTTCGCGTACCTAGTGACTCGTGGTACGCATTTTGAGGAACAACGATCACTTTGATTCGATTTTAGCGAACACTGAAGAAACAGATCAATTATCAATATGTACTGGGGAGACCTCGCAGATAAGTTGGCGGAGCATTCCATTGTGATTATTTTCCTTGCTCTCGTGGTTGTTTTGCTGTTTTTAAGACACACCAGACCGTCAGTCAAGAGAAAACCACCCGGTCCTTGGAGTCTACCGGTGATTGGCAATATATTTCTCTTCGGATCAGCTCCTCACAAGAACGTCACAAGGCTCGCTAAACAGTACGGAAGAGTCTTCGCTATGAAACTTGGTAGCAGAGAGGTCGTGATTCTCAATGACATCAAGACAGTTAAGGAGGCTCTTCTCAAGAATGGCACCGACTTCTCATCTCGCCCTCCATTGCACAGTTTTATATCGTCCAGCCGAGGTGATAGAACAGTTGCATGGCCCGTGTTTGGTCCAAAGTACGCCAACAACAAGCGAGCGACGGAATTGGCCATGCGAGCTATCCTTGAAAATGACAAGTACCTCTCCAAAATAGTCCTTAGAGAGACGCACGTGTTAATCGAGAGTCTCCTAAACTCGGACGAGGGCCGGTTCGATCCTTCTTACCTGTTAAAATTCTTTGCCTGTAGTTTGCAGTTTTGTTTGTTTTTCGGGGACAAGTTACGCGACGCTTACGTCAAGAAGGCTCAATTCATGATGGACGGTTCAACAGATTTTATAGAAAATAGTGCCGTGGGTAACAGCGTAGATTTCATGCCGTGGATGAAAGTGGTGTTCAAGAAACAAGTGGAAAAACTTGACGCATCCATCGCAGAACTTACCACATTTGTCAAGAAAATTTTTTTCCTCCTGAAGAGTGATTCCAGCCTGAACAACTTAGACGAGTCACTTTCCAGGATGCCCACTACCTTCGTCGAGGCATTGGCGAAAGTAGTGAACGACAGAGATGCATTAGATTTTGGAAACGAACGTTTCAGTAAAGACTCCTTGGAGGGAATTTCAAGACACTTTGACGATGAAACTTTGATTAATATAACAGCTGACTGTTTCGGCGGGGGATACGAAAAATTATCCACCGCCCTCCGTTGGGCTGTGGCTTACCTCGTGTCCCATCCCGACGTGCAAACGGAATTGCAGGATGAGCTTAGACGCGTGAAAGGTTCTACGCCCTTGACGCTCCACGACAGAAACAGCTTTCCACTTTTAGAGGCAACAGTTCTTGAGATCTTGCGGATGAGCAGCTTTCTTCCATTCGCTTTGCCCCACTGCACAACCCAGGATACCAGTGTGGCTGGATACCCTTTACCAAAGGGAACCATTGTCTTTATTAACCTGTGGGCCTGTTCCCGTGATCCACAGTACTTTGAAGACCCCAACACGTTCAATCCATACCGTTTCTTGGATGAAACTAAACAGAACATTGTACGATCACCGTGTTTCTTGGCGTTTTCAGCAGGGGACAGAAAATGCCCCGGAGAAAGCTATGCTAAGTCAGTTATGTTCCTGGTGTTGGGCACCATATTGCAAAACCTTAAACTTCGCAATGGAACCGAAGATCCCATCGAAGACAAGTTCGGGCTGACCATTCGTCCAAAGGCGTACAAGATTCGCGTTGAAGCGATTCAGTGAATATGGAGTAAGGAACTTTCAAGGAATGAAAGGTACACAGCTTGACATAAAGGCTAAATGACTGTCAGAGTGTGAACTGATGATTTGACATCGATTCATTGATAGTGATACAAAGGACCAAGTAAGTCTTGATTCTTCAGGTTAAGATAGTGAAAGTCGTTTTCTCCTTAATTAGGCATGACCAAACAAACCGCTGCTGATCTTAAGCTCCGTGAAGAGCACTGCAAGATTGTTGGTTCAGACTTTTTTAACCATTTTCCTACTTTCATGTTTTTCTTATATGTAGATATAGAACTTAAAACGGGCGGACTGCACCTTTGAGTGTAGTGACATAAGCGTCTGTTTGCGTTGGTGAACACTTAATTTTTAGCGCATAATTGATGTCACGTAATGGCAAACTTTGGCCGCTCGGGCGTATTTTTAAATCAGTTTCGCTTCTTAATTTTAAAATACGACATCGGCTTTTATATTCATTATCACAGGGGCATAAGCTCTTCAATTAGTTTCATAGTTTCTATGAACTAATGGAGAAAGCGTGCTTGACTGAAGTTGGACGACGAAGCTTTATCACTAAGCGGAGATAACCTTGTGGAAATATCATTTTGACAACGGACAACTAATCCCACAGACCCAGAAGCACTATATTTGTAATACCTATGACGTCTATGTATAATTTTTACTGGAAAATATGGCAACATCTGTGCTAGCCTTGTTCCAGCCTTGTGCTAGAAATTATGCGAACGAGAGGTGCTTCTATGAGACAACAAAATGATGAAATATTAGGCAGTTCGGCCTTATCAAATCTAAATGTCAACTTAAAGATATTTAATTATTGAAAAATAACGAAAAATATACTTTTTTATATTTTATTTGGTTTGTTCTTGAGCATTGTACACCCAAAGCGGAGGTTTTCTTTACGGTTTCCCAGATTCCAATAACAGCCAGTTGAACTGTGCTCGAAATTTGGGTCTAAATGAAGATACCGCAATCGACTTTGCCCATTTGTCTTTCACGCGTGGAAATAATTCAGTTTGCAGAGTTCGCATGATGATGCAAGTCTTTCATACACAATTGCCACCGTACTGGAAATCTAAAGCAGACAGGCATTTGTTTCATAGATTAAACTTTGACTTTTACAAATGCCGGGTTTCCATCTTTCAACTCTCGACTCGAGAATTCTATGTGGTGAAGTTGATTGTTTGGCACAAATCTTCAAACTACATGATGTTATATTCCATGATCATATTATTGTTTGACATCGATGGCCCCTTGATTTAATTCTTGCAGCATTACTCACAGTTTGCAGACTTATCAACACCCAATTAAGTTAGAGGCCAATGCCAAAGGCACGCTCTACTAGGCGGCAAAGCACGTGGACAGTCTATTGAATATCTTACGCAAGGGATGTCGGTATTTGTTTCTTCGTCTGTTCTTCTACCTCTTGTTATTATCAAGCTCTTGGTGTCTGAGAAATTTTCGATTCCTCTTCATTAAATCATTGTGGGAGAAAATGCAAGCCGGTCGTGACACTTCATTTATTAAGGAAATAATAACATCTAATTAGATTATTCGAAACGTTTAAATTTAGTTCAACCAGCACTTGCAACTTAAATTAGATGGTAAACTCTCAGGAGAAGCGATTGCTTTTGCTAGGAACTCTGATTCCTTTACCTTTAATTTCGACAGATTTTCAGTGGAGTTAATGCGATTCCTTAGGATTATTTCAATCTTCTGAAATCCACTTTAAAAATAGGGACCTTTTATAGCCAGCTATTTGGCGGTCAAACAATATTTGGTCGGACTACAATGCAGAATTAGTAGAACATGTGACGTCGTACTGTACTGAACAGGTGAAAAAATATTGCTTCGAATGCATCGACAATCGTTCGTGATATTAACTATAATGGAGACTATCCACACTAAGATTCTATTGAGGTAAAATTCAGCAGTCGACCAAACCACCTGGGTCTATGCAACCTTAGAACTTGTTTGTTATTAGTCAGGGTTACGGATTTTCCACGGCGGCCAAGGCCACGGAAGCTTTTGATTTTGTTTTTTAACAAAACGATGCTTTAAATAAACAGTCTAAGTTGGATTAATAAGGCAACGGACGGCAGAGCTTTTGTGTCGTGTGTTTAATTCGTTTACCGCTGTTTCTGTGCTGCAGCTGCGCCTTGCTCAGCAATGCGGAGCAATTTTTTTAAACATTCCTGAAGAAAAAAATTATCTTTCAATTTTCATTGTAAGAGTTTCGGATATTTCATGATTCGTTTTTAGCGTCTTCTCCGATGAGGTTGAAATAAGTACCTATAAGTATTATGTTACCTTTTTTAGGTAGGTAAACATCACGTTTAGCCCCCATGCGATGTGATGTTTGGGAATAAAGTTGTACCAAACGTTTCTTAAGAATTCAATACGTTAGAGGAATCCAACTTGAATCTTTTAAAAGAACTTCCATTTCTTCCCACGGAAAACTTCTATTTCTTTTGCGATCTCATAATTATAGCAACAACTAAGTGTCCATTGACTAAAGGGCGAGTAAAAACATATTAGGAATATTTTTTCGATGTTTAATCTCTCTCGGCAAACACTTATTGCAAACATTTATTTCACGGCAGCTTACGTCAATAGTCCGGTTCAAATGACTTTGGCCTTGGCCTTTTCATTTGCATTTAAATACCTCTAAAAACTACTACTCCAGGGCTTTCCGCTCTTTTCACAAAAATTAATTGTCCTTTTATATTACGCACGCCTAAACAGGAAACTGACGAAGTTCATTGTCCCAAAGCCGACTTCTTCACTTCGTTTGTTAAGCAATCTCTTGCAAACTGACAAAGCGTTCAAATATCACGAGTTATCTGCACTTTCTTAAGGAGGGACAAAATAGATATAATAAAAACAAAAACAAAAAAACAGGAAGAATTTCGTTTTTGGGTAAGAGAGTAACTAGTGTTTGAGGAGAACAAAAAGAACCTACGTAAGAAACTTAACTGTGTAACTTCTTATACGGTTGTTCTCAACTGACCTTGGAATGCAGCTTTGCAAAGCATTACACATTCTTTCCTTACGTAGGAGGTAAAAACAGAATGTCTGAGACAATTCACGGAATTCACAAATCTCAAAGGTTGTGGGAAAATCTTGCAAGAGATCATTAAGAGACTTGTTTTGTCTGGTTGCGTAAGAAAATACAAAGAACACATTATGGTAAGGTAAAACCTGAGTCTTTTAACAGACATTAAGAAAACACGTAACTGTAGCGGTGTTTTCGTAATGACTCATGAAACTGGGATTATATTCCTACTAATATGACACACCAGTAAAAATTTAATTATAGTGTTGACACGTGCAAAGTTTTGGAACCTTTCTGGATCTTAAATTTGACCCCTATATTTTGGGACGTTACATGTTGTTTTGCAGAGTTATATGACGCTTTGCAAATGTTTTCTTTAAAAGTTCATGGTTTACGCGACTCCCCAAGAGGCAGCACTTGTAACAATGTAGCTTATTTGTTTAGGGTTGTTTGAGATCTTTAACAGAAAACATGCAGATTTTGTAAAGAGAAAAAAGAAATTTAAATTTTCTGGCCTTAAATTTTCTCCATTTGGTTTGGGAGGGGGGTGTTTCTATTTTCTATTTGTGTCCAAATTAAGTTCTACCGTTTCAGATTAAAAGGATGTGATATGCATCTTACGTGATAGTCCGCGATGACATTGGCCTTGACAATTCCATGCGGAGCTCCGCCTCTGTCGCGCCACATGAGACATTTGACAACCGAAGCGGAAGACCGCTTCTTAACTCTTCCTTAAGTCTCAAACCCGACCTGGGTTACCAAATGCGGTAAGCTTTGCAGTACAGCTTATGTAAGTTATGTTCGTGATTAAACAGTTTTGCATCACATACGATTACTCTACTCTACTGTTTTTACTAAAATGCAAACATTGACTACTTTGAAAAGATTGATCAGTTAATGAAGCGTACTTTTCCCTTCAACGCGCAGTGTCACGATTTTGGAGTCAATACACAATCGGCTATTCTATATAAGAAAAACCTTAAAAAATTGGTTAGACCTTCCATCAACATGAAAGAAACAAGATTTATGTATCAACAGGCGTCCGTGTAAATATTTTCCAAAGTGCACATGCATATGCTGATGTTACTCTCTGAGACGCCTTTACCATATATGGGATCCAATTGACCTTGGAGGTATAGGAACCCACAGAGCTGGGTCAAAGCTCTGATCTTTTTTCACGGGAAAGAAAATAAGTTCCGCTAAATGATTCTCTACTTGACACAAATCCTTTGGAAGAATGAAGTGCATCTCAAATTTCCTCAGCTCCAGTCATGCGAAGGGGGAAAGCATCTCTCTATTCGTGCGATTTCGCCTCGTTCAAGGTCAATCATTCTTGTGGACAGTTACTCGATTTCGTGTCTTATAATATTTATTTACCCTTATCCACCTAACCCAATTATCTGCACTTAGCTTAGGAGGTGCTAAATGAACTAACCGAAACCCAACTTCACACTTGAGAATGCGATTATTCTCCATTCCTGTAGAGATTTTGTGGTCGCGCAAAGTATTTGCCTTCTTTGTCTTAGGGCACTCCTTTTCGTGACTGATGGTGCCTTTATCCTTTTCTGGATAATTGAATTATCATCTTTAACAAAGTGCTAATCAACAGGCCAGAGGTGAAATTCTCACGAAAATTAAGCACCATTTCCCATCCGACTGTTTTTCTTCTTCCAATCTTTTACAGACTGTTAATACACAAACCTCAGCTCGTTTCGTTACGCACACACTGCGTTATCTGAGTAAATACCTGGATCAAAGGTGCCGTGATAACTCGTAAAGTTTTACAGTCTTTGTCAACACGAAAACAATTTTTTTTCTTTTTCACGCGAGCGAGTTTTCCTAGTAAAGCTGTCCTTGAACACCCAGGAGAAACTTTGCAAGAATATTATCTAATCGGTAATAAGAATTTAGGGTAAAAACTTTATAATTGCGTAGGGTATTTGATAGGCCAAGACCTACTCATGTGGTGTTTTAAAGTATGAATCTCTGGTGCATATCTGCCTTGTTGATCTCTTTCGAAGTCTCAGATAAAATGTTTCAAGGAAAAAATCACTGCGGAATTAAAAATCATTATTATTGTAACGTGGAGTTAACCAGTTATTCCCTAACATGACCTGAAATAAAATTTAAGGAGATAAAATTTTACTTAGGAAAACTCCTGAGGGAAAAAAAATTCGAGTCGGACCAACTATAGCTTGGTGGTCTTCTTAGCCTGAACGTTTAGATGATAATCATGTGGAGTTGGATTTAGATGTTAGCTCTAAAATACTGCGATAAAAATATTTGACTCTAAGTCAGTGAAAATGAACCATGTAAATGCTTGAAATGATTTTCTTAACATAATATCAGATCCGAAGAAGTGATGGTGAAGTCACATTGAGCCACGGTTGAGGGCTTCTTCCTGTGTATCTGGATCACATATATACGGATAACTTTTACAAAGCATTTCCCTGCTGGAAACTCTTATATCCTGAATTTTGTTATTAACAATATATCCAAGAAGTGCCCTTGACATTCAGAAAATTGCTGAGGTGAAGCACATCTAGGAACGGAAATTAATTAAATGTATAGAACCCTCGAGAAGCCAGGAAAATCAGTAAAAATAACAGATTTAGTGACCGAAATGAGAGTGTTAGGTCAAGCTGGTTGTACAATAGTTGTCAAGTTCTTGAATTAGCAGGTAATGTTCTTCGTGCCGGTGTTTTCACACCGACACGAAGCTAGTTTTCCGGGAGCAGAACCAATGCTTGAGCGAAAATAGCTCATAAATTAGTAATTCTTAGTCATTCTTTTACCCTCCTAAGCTCCGCAAATATAAAGTGATTGGCGAGCCAGCTAACATTGTATGTAAACGTTGATAAACACGTCTACCATTTTGTGTTAAGCAATTATCATAACTGCATTTAAACCGTCTTGGGGACATTTAAGCATAAAAACCTCGTATTTCCTCCAGTAGTGAGAGAGACCAGGTCTAATTGGATGAACTTTAAAATCAACTGGACCCGTTTGAAAAACAAGAGAGTTTATTTACACAAGCACTGATCATTCCAGTGTCTTTATTAATTGTTGTTCAACTCCTAACATGCCTATTTTTAGCCGTGCAACAACGGTGTCTCCAAGGTCAATTACCTGACTATCCGTACTGAGCTTCAGCAAGCTTAGTCCAATTTTTTAGCGGGTTATTTTTCTCTGTTTAATCCTAGTGAATATATCAAATGCCGTCACTGTGAAGTTGTTCCAGAGGTGTTGGCTTCTATTCAAGGTGTGGTTTACACCAAAAACATGTCGTGCCAAGGTCGCGTGAGCGGGGCGTTTCTTTGTATAAAGAACAGTATTCGTGAGTGTCAGGCGTCGGCCCAAAATGCTTCGTATTCGGAAGTTTCCTTGCAATGATCCTTTCAAACAAATTTTACCAATACAACTAACTAGTCTCAACAGATATCTCCGTAGGATCGGTGACCTCGGCTGGATGGAAACGATGCTCAAAAGTTGGAATTCGGTCGTTGTGGCTTGAATTTCCTCTTTTTGCAACTAAATCTCACTCTGTAAGGAAGACACCATCCTTGGTTGGAGAGGCAAATGTACTTAAAGCCGACCTTCTTTAAGACACTTCATCCGTCAGCTTGCTTGCATATTTTGGCATGAAGCATGCGACAAATTAAAATGAGACAAGAGACGGAAACGCATAGCGAACACTTCATTTATCTCTTAAAAGACGATATCCTCTTTAGATCTAATAGCATATTTGTCAGCGTATCCCTTGACCGCTAAAATACTTTCAGGGGTTTTCACTGCTGGAGAATACAGTAAACAGGAACAATATAAACACGTTAATGATATGGACTGTTTGTAACTGAAGAACTTTAAAGAGCTGAATGTAAAGTGTCGGCTCGTTTTGAAGTAAATTTGGACACGATAACCTTCTTACCTTTCTTCGATATTTCGCTGGTGCCAATTCATACCCCTGGGTGAAGAGAGGTGCCGTAAATTTAAAACGTCTGAGTAAAGAACGCAACAGAATGTCCTTGCTTGGTCTCGAATCCAGACCTCTCGACTAATTTTTCAGCTTGATGACACACCGAAAAGTTGTAGCGTCTCCTATGGAAACTATCAGGGTAATATTGAACAAACACCATTTTTTACTGAGTGCTTTAGAAATTTGATTGATTGCATTTCTTTGCATTAAAAATTTGATTAAATTCATGATAGTACAAATTTTACGATTTCCTTTTCCATAATGAGACCTTTGCCCTGATTTTCTCCTATGAAATTCATTAAGTAATTACTCGAAATGTTCTGCAAGATTTAATGTTGGAAGTATTACAAATCTTTGGGTTCGCGCACAGATCAGTAACTTGAATCTAGGAGCAAGTCAGAGACTTGAAACATTCCTGTGTTTAAGTAACATCAGCGTCATACAGACTTTGCAATGACAGCTGGGTTTTAGCAGAGGTGTAACCACAAAGTGGCTCTCACTCTACTGACTTTAGCGTTGAATTGGAATTTGACTTAGTGGTTTTGAGGAGACGAAAACTGGAAAACTCTGGAAAAATAAAAAACCTTCGAAGCAATGGGAATATACTAAATAAATAACTCAGTCCACAAGTAACGGAGAAGTGAGCAAAGTATCATTTTCTATCCGGCTGAAAACACGAGATCTGATTCAACCCAATCGATCATTTTCCTTAGATTGTCAGCCTTCTTTACCATATGTTACTCATAAGGATGCAATATTGCCTCATCATCATGACTACTCTGTACAGCCGACTCATTATGAGCGAATCATGTTGCGGAAACGCAAACCTACGCATTTTGCTAAATATTGATTATTTCCTGACTTGGAAATTTTTGCTAATATTTGTTTTTCTTTAGTTTCCTTTACGTGCAACGATGTAGCACGACGCATTGACCTTTACGTGAAGACAATTTCACTTTTTTTTTCCCTTTTTGTTGTAAAAACCGCAACAAATATTTTTAGCTATAAACAGAAATACGAAACTGCTGGAAAGCGTCTTAACTTATCTCTAAAACAAAAATTCTCGACAGTACGTGGGGATGACCTTTCAAGTTGTGAGTTATATAATACTGGTTCATCGGATTGTTCCTAACCGGCCTACGTGACAACTAGAGTGATCTGATTTTTCCCTCTGGGATTTCTTTTAAACATACCTGTATACATATTTAGCAATTTTTAGATGGAGAGGATCGAGAGCATAGGCTATCAGAAGTCAACACATTTCCCGTCTTTTTTTTATTAAATTAAAGCTATTTCCTGATGAGCTTTGTTCCTACCATGATGTTTGTGTAGAAGCTACGTCATACTTAATTTGAGGTTGTTCAGAATTTCAGCTTGACTCTCATGTTCGTCCAGCATTTGAATACTGTCATAACCCATCTGTAGTCATCCTTATTTCCTTGTCTTATTTTTATTTTTCGTTATTTTTCTGTCTTATTAAACTTTAACTTCAAATTTTCTTTCAATTCAAATAAAAGCATAATTTTGTGTGACTTTTAATGAGCTGGAATTGATGCTTTTAGCTGTAGATTCGTAAACTTTAAACTCGTACCATCTTTAGCTGATCAAAGTAACATTTCTATAATTGTCCTAGGTACGAAGGTGGCAATTAATTTTTATCTCTGGGATAGAAAGGCCTTGATGACTATGACAAATGCAACACGAGTTATTTTCCACGTCAATAACTGCCATAAATTGATTGCGAATTCAGATTAGACGAATTCTCCGCGACATCGTTTCGCCACAATCCTTGATTTTTCGTACTAGTGCATGTTCTCTTCTCTGTAAACGACTTTAAAGCCTTAGTTATTTAAGTAGATGTGAGCATTCTCATTGAAAGTAATGCGGTAATCTGAAACGTTCCAGTTTTGATCCGGAGCGCAATTTTAGGAAATAATTGCAGCCTTTCCATAGTTCAACGAAGCCATGTGAAACTAGTAAGATTAAACGTATCAAACACATAACAGGTGCAACGATCTCAGCTTAAAAACAAAGCTACATTCTAAAAATTTACCAATAGTAAGGTTTTCTGGGCTGAATAGTTTTATCAGTACTTTGTTCTTGTGTTGCTTCACGTATCGTTGAATTAGGCCTTAAACGTGCTTGATCGCAAATAAACGTTTATGAATATTCAAAGAAAGATGATCTTTTTGTTGTTTTTTTAATTTGTTGTTTCTAATAAAAGATCCATGCGGTTTTTGTGTAAGTTTTCTGCCTCTTTAGGGTCACGTATTGCTTGCTAAAACGTGCCAAGCTAGAAATCGGTGGAATTCAGTTTGGCTCCTGTATGAGGCTTGTATATCGGAATTTCTGGGTCCAAACCGGTTCCCGCAGAACAAGTTACAACTATCACCGAGCTCAAAACTTACCACCCATCTAATTTCTGTCAACAAACATTATGCTATCGACATTGCTGATCCTGGCAGTAGGCAGGACGCGTGTCATGGCTCAGTGGTAAAGCATCGGAGCGCGGAATACGAAGGTCTGAGGTTCGATTCCTCACGGGGACTCAGAATTTTTTTCTTTGTCCCACGCTCGTGACAAGACGAAAAAACATCCCTCTTTACTATTTAATTTTCCCGCATTTTCATAGCTCTGGCGCAGATGTTTACCCAACACTCCCTTAATAGCTATACAATAGACCTGAACGAATTTCGAAAATCTATATAATCCCTTGTTTTTATTAGAATTTATTTTCTTTGAGATGCAGGTGGGGTTTTGGAAGAGTTCAGCTCCTCCATTTCTTTCCTTGACCTGGTTATCTGCCACAATTCACGGGTGTATGACGTAAGTACAAAAGCGGAAATGCTAACTTATCGTCCCATAGCACGCAATATATTTTTCAACGAATAAATAGCAATCACCCCCTTCACTTACGTAATATCTCTAAGGAATAGATCTGGTTGAGAAACAAAAAAAAATTGGATGAAAAAAATCCGCTTTTATCCGTCTAAACTTGATCCATTAACTATAATAACCAAAGAACATTTATCAAACCTCCCAGGAGGTTGCACGAGTATTGGCAAAATAGTGTAACCTGACTACAACAATTCTTAATGTCCTTGCGTGCCGTGAAACTATTTTTTTTCCTTACATCTTGTATCCAAAAGTCGCGTTTGCAAGCTTTTATAGCGTGCCAAAGGAAAATCACCAGGTTATTTGGACGTGACCTATTTCACCTTGACCTTGGTCTTGTAAGTGGAATTACCGCCTCTTTATTTACAGAAGAACTTTGGGGCAGGGCTTTAATTGAAGTTTGGTGGAATAATCCCACTAAACTCATGTTACTTGTTATCGTTTATTCTTAACACTTTCCCTCTCTGCACCCTGTTCCTATTTTCCAGTGATCCATCTCCTCTGCTACAATTCTTGATATCCTCATTGTAAAATATCAATTTACGTAAAAAGGGCTAGAGTCAAAACTCCGCCGGAAAGTGTGTATTAAACTTATTAAATGAACCACAACATCTGGCTGAAATTAAAACTCCAAAACTTCTTAAAATCACAAACAAAGAGGTATTAAATTTACGCGAACGAAAGCGTAAAAACAATTATTTAAACTCGTTGAAAAAAAAACAAGCAAAATAAGCGAAAAGTGTCCACTTCAGTTTCGGCAATGTCAAGGTTAGAGTTCTTTGACGTGATTTGCTAATTTGTAAAATCACGCGCGCCACGCGTAAATATGAGGACAATGCAAAGTGGGGACAGGAATTAAGAAGAGAAAAATTGTAATTTGAAATTTAAAAACGAAATAGAATTTCTACACCATTATCATTTTTTTTCTTCGGCTTTTCCAGTTTTTGGTAAATCCTAGTAGATCTTCATTAATCACTTTTCTTTTATTTCTTGGCGTAGACGCCTTTTATCCCATACGCTTCGCACGAGTACTTAAGTGGGACTAAAATTAGACAAAAGTAAGTGTAATCGTGATGTTAAAGGCTACATGTTACAGAAAAATGTGGGCACTGTTTGTTTGGGTTTGTCGAAAGAGGACCACGCCCCGGGCGCGCCCTTACTTAGTTCTTGCTCGACTCTTCTTGCGCACGCGTACATGCGTGGCATACTGGAGTAAAAGAGATGGGAACCGGAGGCAAGGCGCAAGTCTCTTTTCCCCTGTTGTCCTAACAGTTTTTCTCTTCGATCTCCTATCTTTCCCC